AATGATTGTGAGAATATACTAATCACTTAAAAGAAATTAAAATCATAATCTCTCTATCTATATATTATATAAGAAAAAAACTCACAAATTTTAGGGAGCTCCAATATCTCAATCTTAATTTTTCAAATTTTTTATTTAAAAAAAAAACTCCCACCCACCATTTAGTTTGAGCCTTTTCTAAATTTGAAAACCTAAACCCTACTGCCAGCCTTCTTGACTCGTCATATTGCGCAACCTTCTTGACTTATCCTAATTTTCTAATTTAAAAATAAAAAAACTTAAATTTATCATTTAATTTGAGCCTTTCAAAATCTTCACTTGGGCAGCCTTCTTCACTTCCACAACCTTCTTCACTTTATGCCTACTATCCCAGCCTTTTTTATATAAAGAGAAAGTTTGGGAGAGAGATAGTTGGATAGAATTTGGGGAAAAATGTTGACACTTAGACCGTTACAATTTTCAAAGTCTGTAAGTAATATTTTCATTTATTTTTCGGTATCGTGATTATATTTTTAAATTGATAGGGTTTTTTAATTCACTATGCTTTTTGAAGAAAAAAATTGTATTTCAAAAATATCAATTAAAAAAAATTGTAATTAATTTTTGATTGGATTTTTAACTCATTATATTTGTGATTGTGTTTTTTAACTATCAACTGACTGTGTTTTTTACACACCATTTCAATCACATGATGAGAAAAAAAAACTTATTTGGATTGTGACAATCTCTATATTTTTTTATGATTAGATTGCATGTTGTCTTGCAAAAAAAAAAAAATTTGTAATTGGGTCTCTAACTCACTATGTTTTTCGAACAAAAAAAATATTTTTTAACTATCAATTGACTTAATTTGTGATTGAATTTTTGTACACTCTGTTTCGATCACATGATCAGGGGGGAAAAAAATATGTGAATTGTGACAATCTCTGTATTTTTAAAAAACTTATTGAATCAAGTAATATATTATTTAACCTTGTCTTTCACAATATAAATACAAACTACCATATCACCCATATTATGCCTAGGATTTTATTTTTCTGTTAATAGAGATATTTGTGTAGTTTTATTTTTCTGCTTTTATTTTATACTTTATAATTTATTAAATATTCATTCCAGATTTATTACAATAACTTTTTTTTATAGGATAGAAGGTTGACACTTCACAGTTACAATTTTCATTTCAACACAATCTTCAAAGTCTGTAAGTTATAATCTTCATTCAAACACACCTACACAGTTATCATCCCAATTAATGAATGTTAAACGATATGTATATATATATTCGTTTATAAAGAGAGATTAATTTATGTTTTTTCAAATATTTTGTAAGTTTCATATTTTCGAATACGTGGTACATCGAACAAATTGATGTTGACAACCTTTGGATTGATTTGTACCAAAGTTACTATCAAAAAGTTGAATATCATTATGGTCACATTATTTGTCGTCACTGCGTATATGATATAATGAGGTAATTTCCTTTACATAAATAATTGTTATGTACAATAATAATTCAAACTTAATAAGTGTTTTAATTTTTTATTAAATACAATATTTTCTTTTAACAAGTGTTTTTTTTTATTAGATACAATGTTAACATTGTGGTCAAAAACAATATTGGTTCAATAAACTTCACTGTTCAAAATAAACAGGTAGAGTTTATCTTGCGATGTCAACCATCATATTTGAAGACTATGAGATCAAAAGTAGGAAACTATACAATTTATTATAAATAATTTTTTCCTACCTTTTCAAACACAATGTTATAATTCCAAAATTTTACAAGATAATAGAGTTATAATGATTAAAGATTATATTGCGACATGCCAAGACTATGCCTATTCATTTATCATACTTATACCAACAATGCAACATCAATTAGATTGTACACCGTGTGTGACATTTGTTTTAAATATAGATTGGTCTGAAGAATGTTTATACATTTATAATATAAATATATATGTATATAATATGTAAGTATAACATTTTATAAATATATAATATATGTGTTGTTCATCAATTATAATACTAACTATCATGTTGACAATGTAAGAATGCTGATAGAAGAACCACAACAATTTAGATTTTAGTTATAATATATTTTATTTATTCAGTAAATTTTGAACAAATGTAATAAATAATTATTTTTATTTCTTTAATTATGAAATGTCAACATTTTCTTTCAAAATTACATATATTTTATACTAATAATATAAAAATATGTTTGACATAACCATAAATAGAACCTATTTGGCACAACTTAAAAGTTACTTATTTCAACTTTTAACTTAATTTAAGCTAAAATATTGTGTTTGGTGTAGCTTAATTCATCAGATCATAGCTTAATTTATGCCATTTTCAGCTTATTTTGGAAAACAACTTAGGGGGTGCTTATAAAAAATGACTTATGTGCACAGCTGGTAAAGGGGGGCAAAATGACTTAAATACCTCTCCAAAATTCAGGAAATTACGAAACTGCCATTATATATACCCTCTTCTCAGTTGTCCTAACACTCTCCTCTCCTCTTCTCCTCTCCTCTCCTCTCCTCTCTGGTGACCGATAAACTCCTCCACATCTCCAAGATCGCAGTCAATTATTCCTCCTATTTTCCGTTGATCTGCACAAAAAATGTAAGATTTCATGCCCTTTGTATGTTATATATATATATATATACACATCGATCTGGCTCTTCTTGCCTCTTTCTTGAACCCTTTGTCATAAACACCACTCTGATCAGGTCTTTCTATGACTTCTCACTCTCAAATCTCCGTTCTCAAACCCATTTTTTTTGTAAAAGCATATGCCCCATTTTAATTTCTTGATGATAGGGGGAAAAAAAAACCCTAAAAAATCTTATCTTTGTCTTTCCCCTTACTCGTCGTCTCACCCGACCCACAGCCTCATGTGGTACACTCTCTCTCATCTGTTGATTTGTGTTGATTTTTTCTTGCAACTGTATTTGTATATAATCATTTGGATTCCCAATCCTCCAAATCCAAGGCTAGTCGCAAATATGTGTTAGGTCAAATTTGATCCTGCAAGTCTCAAGCTTCTGATTGTTAGATTTCTGAAAGTGGTTCAGGATTTCTTACTCTTCCTTTGATTTGTTGTTGTTGTTGTTATTATTGTTATTGTTATTATTATTAAAAGCACACAACTCACTTCTATATGAACTTTTTAGTAACACTATATACTTCCAATGTTATTCATGTGCAAAAATGGATGATGGTTATAACTGAATCAAACTGAACCATGCTCACCCTTACTGCTTTCTACTTGCTTCTAAGAGTTGTGTTTCCTCTCCACTTGATTTTCTTTTGAGTTGATGTTTGTTGGTTTTCAATTTGATGTACATAGAATTTGTTTTTCTGTCTTTGTTTGGGTGATGTTCGCAATTGTTGTTGTTTTTTGTGTTCCTTTTATATTTTCCTATATTTAAAATACAGTTTCCTTCTTTTCTATTATTCCTCTTGATTTTCTATTATATTAATGCTACTTCTTTTTTTTTTTCAATTTCAGATTGAGAAACAAACTGTAGAGGACCACAAAACATAATAGAATTCTTGGAGTTTGCTTCCTCTTATGTTTTAGGTAAAACATTCACTATGGTTTAGGGTTTTTATTGGTTGCATATTACTTTGAATAAATCTCATATATATATATATATATACAGAGTGGGTTTGGGTTATTTCTTTTTGGGTCTTAAAAGCTATAAGTATATATGTAATTGGTTCAATCCCATAGAGAAATTGACATATTGAACTATTGAAAGATTGTGGCTTTTTGATAGAATTTTTCCTCTTCAAAATGCATTGAGATACCAATTGAAAAAAATTTGTGAATACATTGGCTTGTTATGTTTATTGGCTTGTTCTTTTTCCTCTTTTTCCTCTTGCTCTGTGAATACATTAAAAAAAATAAAAAAAAAAACTGTGATTAGTACAGCTTATGAATTCAATGCTCAGCCTCATGAATTCCTCTCTGATTTACCAAATCTAATGCTCAGCCTCATGAATTCCTCTCTGATTTGCCAAATCCAGTGCTCAGCCTCATGAATTCCTATCTTATTTCAAACTATGGATTAATGAATTAATGAATTCCTGTCTCAACCAAATCCAATGCTCAACCTCATGACTTGAGGTTATAATGAATTAATGAATTCCTGTCTTATTTCAATCTATGAACTTTAGTTTATATTTTATATTTCATTTCAAATTATTGAATTCCTGTCTCTTTTAGAATAATGTTAGAAACATTTTATTGTTTTGGTGTTTTTTTGGTTCATATGTAAAGTGTGTGTTAGATTTGTGTGAGAAGTATGATCTCAATCATCTTTCATAAAACTGGAATCAGAAAATGACCAAATGAAATGTATTTACAATTAACTTCCCAATCAATTTTAGAGGATTTAGATTTAATTCTTCGTAATTATTGCAGAGGCATGTCATCCTCTAGTAATTATTCTTCTAGTGCTGAGACCTTGGACTTGAGGTATGAGGCTTTGAAATGTGATTGTGGTCTAAGAGCTGCCATAAGGGTTACTGAGTGTGACAAGCCATCTAAAGGGAGACTATATTTCATTTGTGAGAACCGAAATTGTCAATTTTGGAGGTGTTGCACCCCAAAATCTATGACGATGGTAGAGAGGCTAAGAAATGAGAGAATGCTTGAGCAAAATCAAAATATGGAGACTGTAGGACTAAAAGTCAAGAACCAAATGCTTGAGCAATCCAATGCTTTCATGAAGCAGCTTGTTGTGGGTCTACTCACAATTTGTATTGTTATGTCAGCTGCATTACTCTTCAAATGATGATAGGTGCCGTTTAGAGATACCTGGTGTTTTTGTGCTATGTAGTTTACCATGAACTATTGTACTAAGCTTTGTACCCAATGAATGATGATATGTCCATCGTAGTTACCATGTATGATCCTAATCTAGCTGTTGTAATACAAGCAATGATGAATGAGTTTGTTTTGAAGAATTGTTTCATTTCATAGAATGAGTATCCAAGAGGAAACACAATCTGAAAATAGGAAGAACAAGGGAAAATCAAGTCAAGTACCATCTGTTAAAGCTCATTGGGATGCAAAATCAAATGAGATTTATATTAAGCTTTGTGTTGAGCAAGTGAAGGCTAGACACAAACATGGTACACACTTAGATAGTGTCGGGTGGAAAAATGCGATAACTAAGTTTAAAAGTATGACTGGAAAAGCATACCAACGAATACAAATGAAAAATCATTGGGATGCGTTGAAAAAAGATTGGCTTTTATGAAATAATCTGTTAAGGGATAAGATAGGCTTAGGCCGTGATACATTGATTGGAGCCATATCTGCATCTGATGAGTGGTGGACCAAGAAATTTGAGGTAAGTGAATTACTTAATGTACATATTCTGTTCGTTTTTTTGTTTAAACAGACCAAATTTTTTACTTGAAATTATTTAATTTTCCTTTGTAGCTGTTGCAGAGGTATCCTGATGCTGCTAAATTTCGACATATGCCGTTGCAATTCACTGATAACTTAGATATACTATTCTCAGATGTAACTGCTACAGGAGAATGGGTATACACCCTTAGCTCAGGGGTTATGCCTCACACTGACGAAACTCTGGAGGAATTTCATACCCCACATGATGCTGAATTTCATGATGATGCTGATTTAGAGGTGGTTCATCCTTCTGATTTAAACAAAAAACGTCTATCAAACACTAATGGTTCATCAAACAATTGCAAGACAAAGAAGAAATTTTTTGGTACAGCTCTACTTAACAAGACACTTGATCGTATAGTCAATGTGGTTGAGTCATCTTTAGCAACTTCAACACAAACCTCATCAAGATATCCTTCAATTGCAGAATGTTTGGCAAAGTTAGAAAACATCCCTAGTGTGTCCCCAGATGATGACCTGTATGTATGAGCTGCCAGATTGTTCTTAAGAGACAAGCGTCGTGAGTGCTTCATGGAGCTTCCTATGGATGAAGTTCGACTGAGGTTTCTGAAGTTGGAGATTGAGATGCAAAAGACCACTATAGGTTATCGCAGCGAATTGTTTCTGAAGTTGGATGTTTTTTAATTTCCTAATTATTTCATGTTTAAGACCTTTATTAAGACTTTTATTATTAATTGTGGATTGTTATGTTGGATTCATTATTTTTTATTATTATTAATATTATGTATGAGTATGTTGGACTTTTATGTTGGACTCATTATTTGGAATTTTATTAATATTTTGTTGGGCTTTTATAATGTTGAACTTTGTTAGTTGAATGGTTAAATGATTGGTGGGTAGGTGGCATTTATTCTCAGATTCAATTTTTATTAGGTGGATGTCATTCGAATGGTAGGTGGCATTGATTTCAATCTTGAAGATGAATGGGAGGTGAATGGTTAAGACTTTTTATATATATGTAGATGTGTTAGCCTCAAGTATCCATCAAATTCGGATATTTCAACTATCTTCAAGCAGGTCTTTTGTGGAGACAATAGTTGAGATTTTTCTTCTAATTTTGGCCCCCAGGTATTGTGGTAAACAAATCTTATTGTGTTTTCAATAGTTAGTTGTGTTTTTAATAAAAATCATTGTGTGTTCATTTGATTTTTACTAGAATAAACTGTGTAGTTCATAGTGTGGACTATTAACTTCTATAGCAATAATTTTGAAACAAAGTAATTTAAACTATGCGAAAAAAATGAAACCTCTTGCTTTAATTTCCATGTAATCTATCTCAAATGTTATCCACATGCTTGTTTTCCTGAAACATTGTGCCATTGTATACCTATATTTACATATGTTGGAGCTGTACTCTCTGGCTTTTCTTCACAGCTAAACAGTTCCAGCAATGATTGAACTCCTTACGTTATGTTTTTTTGAAGTTTAAGGTGCCCATGTACAGAACTTTGAAAAGATCATGGACAGCTCTCTATCCATTGTTCCCCCCCTCCCAAATTCTCTTCTTTTGCATTAGGAGTGCAGATTTGAAAACTTGGGTATAATTATTAGTTATTTTACAAATTGAAGTTCCTTGGGGACTTGGATTGCCAATTTTGGGTTAGGGTTCTTTTGAGTCTTCATGACTGAATAGAACCATAAGTATTTAGGATTGAAATTGAATTATTCTTTAAATAAATAAACAAATAAAAAAAAAACCGAACACTCATAAATTTTCGAAAATTATCTTTAAAATTAAAAGCTACATTTATTTAAAACCATAATTTTAGAAGGAAAACTTTTATTCGTGCTTTAATAGTTGGGATAAATTATTCCTTCATCCCTTAAGGTATGGATTGTTTTAGTATAAATTATTCCTTCATCGCTTAAAGTATGGATTGTTTGCCACTTTGGTCCTTAAAAAGAAAGTTTCTTTCACATTCTAAATTATTTTTTATTTTTCACTTTTGGTTTGATTACCAACTTCCATCATTAAGGGGGCAATTTTGAAAATTTAAAATCCAAGTGTTCTAAGCGAATCTCAAAAATAAAATTTCTGCTGATATATAAAAATAAAAAGACTCATGTCAGTGGCGAAAACACAATGCCATGGGGGTTGATAATTTCATCTCCAAATGTTGTCCTAGATCATGACTTGTGGATACTGATTCAACGTTACTGGCTAATTTAGACTAACATTTTATCTTCAATTTATTGAAACACTACACTGGTTAATGATATCATGAATCATTTAATAAAAATCACTGTGTGTTCATTTCATTCTTGTAATAGTAACTAAGAAGCCTTTAAATGAGTAGGTATTTTGGAGATGAGTAACAATGATGACGATGAATGAAATGATGATCATGATGATAAAGATGCTGAAGATGAAAGCAGTAAATCGCAAACCCAACAAAATAATAATATACTTTTAGCTTCAGTAACAACAGCTGCAGTGACATATGCGGCAAATTATTTGATAAAAGAACCATGTAGGACATCTTGTCTAACAGGGTGGAAGTGGATGGTAGAATTATAAGAAGGAATCAGACAAGAATATTTAAAAAAATTCGAATAGAAAGAGAGGTATTTTATCAATTGTGTGATTTGTTACAGACAAAATATGGCCTTGAAACTGGACGAAAAGTCTCGGTTCAAGAGCAGGTTGCAATATTTTTGTATATTGTTGGCGGTGACATTCGAAACAGAAATGTCTAAGAAAGATTTCAACATTTCGGCAAGACGAGGTGTTAAAAGTTGTTACAATGATGTCTATTGATTGGGAAATGCCTCAATCGAGAAATGGTGTGCATCCATATATTTGAAGCAACCACAAATATTATCCTCATTTCAAGGTAAATAATTAACTACAAGTGGAACTTGGGTGTTATACATAATTAATGTTGGTAGGATATTTCTAATAATCTATGACTAAAAATATTTGTATTCACTATTTTGTAATGGGATTGTATTTGAGCAATTGACGAAACACACATCAAAGCATATATATCTCCAGATAAGCAATCTCGTTTAATAAGTAGAAAAGGGTATGCGGCTCAAAACATAATGGCCGCATGTGACTTTGATATGTGTTTCACATTTTGCTTACCAGGATAAGAAAGAAATGCACACGATACTCGAATCCTCTTAGATACAATTAGAAATCCTAATTATAATTTTCCAAAATCACGAGGTAACTGTTTTATATTTGATTGCTACAGTAGATGCACCACACTTACATCTTCATATTTATTTTTACATTTATAATTGCTTACTTTATCTTATTAATATTTGAAATTTTAAAATAGATGAATTTTACTTGGTGGATGCTGGGTATCCAAATATGAAAGGATATCTTGCACCTTACAAATGAGAGAGGTACTATCTAATTAAATTTGAACATGGTCAACCCCTCCTCCCCCCCCAAAAAAAATGTACAAGAAAAATTCAACCAAGCACATTCATTACATAAAAGTGTAATAGAAAAAACGTTTGGGGTTTGGAAAGCAAGATGACCGATGATAAAGGATATCCCACCAAACTACAAGTGGCTGACCCAAGTCAAACTTGTTTGTGCAATAATGGCAATTCATAATTTCATCCGACTAAGTCAGTCCCGCGATATTACAATTGACTCTTATAATAAATTCACAGATTATGTGCCTAATGAAGAGGAAGGATCAAGGTCTCCACAAGCACGCCATAGCAATCAGGTTGAAGGTGATGACAACGAGATGGAAGTAAGGAGACATAACATTTATATGTCAATTTGCCGACGAAATTAGGAATTATCTAATATGTAGGAAGTTTTATTTTTATTGTCTTAATTGTAATTTATTGTATTTTTATTGCAATGACATTTTCTTGCTCCATTGTGAAGTCAAGATTAAATAAATAAATAAATAAAAAAAAAAATTGAGGTCATGTAAAAATGTACCAATATAAGTACTAATTATATTAATTTCCATTAATGAAATAATTTTTTCAAAATTTCAAGTGAATAAAACGAAAATTACAATTTTTATGTTCATAAGGGCAAAAACGACAATTACACAGCAAAAAGCAATTTTATAGTTTATTTACCAAACACTAGGGGTGTTTGGGAACCTACCTTTAAGGCTAAAATTGCCTCAAAAACAATTTTAGCCTAAAAGATCCTAAACCAAAAGTTAAAAAAAAAAAAAAAAAAAGGCTGGCAGTGGGCTGTCACTGAGACAGTGTAGGCACAGCCTACCACTGTCACAATGACAGGAAGGTAAATTACAATTTTACCCTTTTAGATTAATTTCGGAAAATGTGAGGTTAAGGACAAATTTGTTATTTTAACTTCAAACATCATTTCAACCCATTTTTCAATACACCAACTCAAATAAAAATCTATCATATCTTCCCAAACACAAAAAACTAAGGGGTGTTTTGGGAAGTTGGCAAAAAGCTAGCTTTTGGCTTTTTACCAAGCTTTTTGGCTCTTTTGTAGGTGATTTGGCTTTTTACCAAGCTTTTTGGCTCTTTTGACACTTTAAATAGTTTCACACATTCATTTCGTTTGCCATCAACTCGTACAGACCGAACAGGATTAGAACCCAAGTTGACGCCGATGTCGCAGTAATTCATTCCGTATTGATTTCCTGACTTCATTCATATATACGTCATTGTCGCCCTCTGGTTCACCATCATCATCGTCACCAAGACCATCAACATTTGGCATGTCGTTGAACGTAAAATTCTTTGCATTCGTAACCTTGTTAAATGCTTCATCGTCGCTCGAGTTGCAGCGTATAAAATTATGTATTGCTATTGACGCCCCAACCAATGGCATCTGCACTTTCCCGAAATCATATCGCGACATGTTATGTAGGAACCCCCATCGCGCTTTCCATACTCCGAACGTATGTTCAATTGCACTCCGTAAGGAGGAGTGCACCGTGTTAAAAATTTCGTTTGCATTTTTTGGCCTTTCAGTTGCGCGAAACTCTTCCTGGTGGTAGCAGCATCCCTTAAACGGCGCCAAAATCCTTTTTTGGTTCTTGTATCCCGCATCAACAAGGTAATATTTCCTGCTTGTATTTTGGTAATTTTGCATTAGTACGTAGCATCATTATAAATATCAAATGCACACAACTAATACAAACAAAAAAACCAGCCGTTATTCATCTAACCTTCCTCTGGCATGAGGAATTGTTTGGCCGGGTCTTGTGTTACTTCGTTAAAAACTCTACTGTCATGCATACTACCCTCCCATCCGTAAGATATAAAAGTAAAACACAAATCGAAATCACACGCTGCGAGTATGTTTTGCGTGTGCAGTCCTTTACGTCCAAAATATGGCGCTGCCTCTTGAGGCGGGAGATGTGCCTCCACATGTGTGCCGTTAAGCACGCCAATACAGTCCTGCAGAAGCCCACAAAAAATGTGAAGGAGAAATGCTACTACCCAAAAAAAAAGTTCGCCCTTACTTTCTGAAAGTGGCTACTATTCATAATTAAATGTGAGACAAATAAATGCACTCACTTTGAAGGGGAAATATTTCTGTCGGGACTCTAAGTACGGATGTCTACTGTGTTGTGACCTTGTCAGTCGACATTGTGCTATTGTGAACAACTTCATTACTTTAAGAACTCGCATTACATGACGCCATACTGTTTCCCCCGAGTGTTGAAAACGGTCTTCTATGTCCTAACTCGTGAAGCCTCGTAACACGAATATGAACATGTCGACATTCTCAACTATGTCTACACCATGGGGACGTTGTGGTACTGGGAGGCCGCAATCCTCAACTAATGTCTTGCACAACATCAAGAACACATCCTGTGACATCCAAAAATTTCGCTGAAATGCTTCATTCCTTCCTCGAAGCATCTCCTGCATCCACATGCTACCAGTCAATACTGATGTGTGAAACGGAGTCCTGTCAACATACGCATACTCGTTGGCAACACGAGCAATTTCCACCCAAATCATTGATGTCGTCGATTCCATTTCTCCGATCATCTCTCGTATCCAGGCATTTATTTGGCCATTGCGTACGATTTCCGAGCTAGTACCCTCTTGTGCATCCATAGACGTTGCAAATTATATGAAATAAAAACTACAAGCTGTAGTGATTCATTGGCGAAATGAGTTGCTCAACTCCATGATATATAACACTCTTGTTACTGTGGCCATGTGATTGCCCAAAACTGAACACCATGACACTACCATGTGAATGGTAGTACATTTCCAGGTTTGTACAATTTTTACTTTGCATGCTTCCATATAAGCACAAAGTTTCATGTGCTTCTGATTGACGTAAGGCACATCAAATTTTTTCAATATTTGATGTGAATTTTTTTATATAAAATAAAGTAAATAAAGAAATGTAAATAAATAAAATAATGGAACACAAAAATATTTTTGCTTAAAATAAATAAAAAGCACAAAATAAATAAATATTTTTTTTAAAATAAAAAAATGTAACTACTTTGCATCCTATATTAAATAAAATAAATAAATAATTAAAATAAATAAAAGAAATAAATAAAATAAAGAAATGTAACTACTTTGCATCCTTTTTTTTTTTTTTTTTTGCTTCACAAAAATTAATTTCAACATAGTTAAAAAAACCATCATTTTCTGTGTTTTTTTAACCTTTCTGGGGACTACATTATCGACTTTTTAATTTTCTAACAAATTAGTGTTTGCTTTTGTAACTCCAATTTTCGTTTTGTCAATTATAAAATAGATTTAACAAATTCAATCCAAATAGACTATACAATATACTACTTTGTTTTTCCCATCAAACTAATGTCTGCCCCACAACTAACCATCTGCATGTGACAAGGAGCACCTAAAATAAATAATTACACAACAAACAAAAAAGAGACTGCAAAGACATGCATGTAGATTCCTTAGCCATGACATTTCGCATAACATAACAAGCATGTGACACAACAGTGCCACCTTGCGGCGTGTATACTTGCATATCGGTTACAAAGTCCTACAGAATCATACATACACATCCATACCAAAATAAAAGGAGTGCGAATAGTCTCGCATGTGCACCATCCAAAAAAAAAAAAGAAGCTAAAACAAACACACAAAATATACTATAATCTCATGATAACCAAATACTAAAATGACAATCCAACCACAAAGGCCTAATCCAAGTCAACAGCACCACCACTCCCGAATAGCTGTGTCCCCTCTTCATGATCCTTGCCAACATTGGCCGGCGTGTAGGCACGCTTCTCTGTCAACCAGTTGACAATGTAATTCTGGGGGAGGGCCATGATGATGTCTCCATTATCGGGTGAATCCATTATGCCGCATGCGAATGAGAACAACTTACTGTCGGGCTCTAATCCAGGCGTGCTCATAAGCCTTGCAAGACAGTCCCCAACAGTGTTGTCACCTTTATCAGTGACAACGTATTGCTTAATTTTCAGCTCCCTGCTTTGTTTGCTCACTACTTCCACGAGATTGTTCATGTTACTAGCGACAGTACCAGGCGTTGGCCGCTTGCGACGTTTTGTATTGGCTGATCCATCTACGGCTGACTGGGAGGGAGCATCGTCAAAGAGGCTACTATTAACCACGTTCTCCCTGACAATGTCATGGCCTGGTTATAGTGGTGTTCCTGCACCGAGAGGTCCCATCCCGTTATCCTCGTTGGCATTGGTCGCAGCAGCAGCAGCATCGCGTACTTTTGTTGGAGTCCATGTATGTTTCCCAATCGCTGCTGCGCCAGAGTACACCCGCTCCATGAGGTCCACGTTCTCTAGAGGCTTACTCTTGAATTTAGCACATTGGTTGTTCATCTAAGACAGGAGAAAAAACCTATGTAAGTAAAGCTTGAAATGTATTTGTTGCCCTTAAAGTGTACCACCAATGACAGTAACAGAGGCAAAACACATAAAGGGATTCAGTGTTATAATTGAATTAAGTGTACAGATGGCACGTTGTGGGTTGCCCAACATATGTGAAAGTAGTATGTTCAACAAGTGCTTTGATTTGCAAAAGTAGTTATGTGAACAAAATATGGCACCACAAATCAGCAAAACTAGTACAACAGTAATAGGGAACATAAATTTTTTGTCAAAACATACTGCTTGCATTTTGGCCCACCAATGGTCAGGTGCAGTGAAGAAGTCCGTCTCATGGTCGTACCCAAGCCCTGTCAAGCCGTGGCTAGCATTCTCTAACTTCTTCCATGCTACCCAATCTTTCTTCAAGTTGTCAAACTTGTTTTCATTTGTTTGGCCGAATATAGCAGGCCGATTTTCTCTAGAAATTTGTTTGCTACGTTCTTATACCCTGCCAGGGACAATCCACACAGTTGTCGATTACCACCTTCCATTTCAGCAATGACGAGTTGAAGAAACAGTTTTATATTGTCGCTATCGAATTAGCATTTGTGGACTGGCTGGGGTTAGGTTGATGTGACAGCGTTACCTCGAGACTTTGAAGGGGTACGGGGAGGTGATCGGTTTGTTGCCATGAGTAGTGTTGTCCTGCTTATAAAATTAATGCAATATCAGTGGCAAATAAAGTAGAGTAGATATTTTTTGCATGCCCAAAAGTGAAATAAAAGTGTAAGACGCACAAAAAAACAACGACCGTCCTAAGCGTACGTAGGCTCTGATCTATGCGCGTAACGTCCGCTCGTAACCCCAGATCAACATCATTATGTGGCTGGTTAGTACCCAACCTGGTGCTGCGAAACTCGTCACACCAACCAACCCACGCAACACATCTCTGCTGGACAAAATTGCAGTAGATAGTTAGTATGCATACTATGCGACACGACCACAAATGAACGACGACATGACTAAGTGCATAAGAGAGTGGCAACACAAGCACACTGTAGTTCTAGGGCAAACGTAGTACGCACGACCAGGGTTTTTGGCAGATCTTGATATCCTTACAACGCAATGTCCAAAGCCACAATCACACATCCTCGGTGGCCATGATGAAGTGGCAGTTGACGTGGAGGACGCCATCTGTATACTCCTTGGATTTTTTTGTTCATGTTATAAATTGAACTAATATCATCTAGTGTACGGAATGAAAGACAGTAACTGAAAGAAGTTCATTTTGAATTTCGGTTAACTATTGAAAATGCTAGTTTACTGGTGCATCTTGATTAGCCATTTTCTTTTCTAAATTTTTCCGTACTATAGTTGTCTTGTGCTGTCATGTTTTGGTAAACTACTTGAGGAATACACAAGATATATGTTGTACGAATTTCTGTAGTCTGGGAAGTAAACTAAAACAGCAAATTAACATGAAAATGACCACCTCCACAGTACTATACACAATCCTCCCCACCCCAACAATACAATAAACAATCCACGGTACTAATTCTTTGGAGCCATTTTCCAAATCCACAATACTAATATTCTTTGAATATCACAATTATTGTATGAATCTATATGTATAGCATCAGCACTGATAAATAGTTTTGGTTGGAGTTTTATAAATGTCCATTCAAACATTAAAGGCTTTTTTAAATTCATGTTTTGAATTTTCTGTTCTAAACATTAATTACAATTTTTTTTTGTTATATATTGTTTTGCATTTTTGTCAATGTGAAAGAGAAAATAACAGAGGAAAGCCTCAACCCTTGGGGCAATGTGAGTGGTAGTTTTACTCGCACAGTGTTCGGTAGTTTGGGTTTTGCTGAAGTTGCCTCAAAAAAGCAAAAGGTTTTGCATTACTTGTCCAGAATTTTTTTTACGAAACTGAATAGTTGATTATGGGGTTACAGTGGAACGCTTGGGTTGGCCTTGTTTGGGCTTTATTTGGAGTACAGTAACCGTTGTGAATATTGATATGAATCTGCATACTTATATGAATTTGGAGTACAGTAACCGTGTTTGGTAGATTGTGTGTATTTGTTCTTTTAAATCTGCATACTGATATGAATTTTCTTCCTCTTAATTTTTGATATCTTATATATATATATAAATAAATAAAAATTAAACATGTACGTGTAGTTTGTATACCACATTACAAATTAGGCCAATGGATTTGCAATTAACTAGATGTGAGTGGCCACTGCCGTTTTTTTCTTTGGAATGTTAATTGACTTAAAAGTGGAAGATAGAAATATGTAGTTTTATCTTTTATCATGTTGATGGTAACTAGTAAGTAGGTAAATGATAATAGTTGCTTCCCATTTGTTCATGTGTGTCAGCTTAATGGTTAAGGTAAAAACAAAAAAAAACAAAACAAAAAAGATAGAGCTTCTCAATCGTGCCAAGACGGGAAAAGAAGAAGAAGAATTTTGTTTTAACAGATTACACAAAACCTGCAACTTCAAACGATGCACGCACATAACAACCTGGTATCATTCATTCCGTAAAACACAAATTTGTGAAAGAAGGCAAGTAGATCGAAATGGATGAGTACACAGAACATCTTGCCATTGAAGATCAGAAATACAAACATTTTTTGACATCAGAAATCACTAGTGCAAACCAATATGGAGCAACCATTATCAATGTTATATATCATACAGCAGGTCATCCATCAATCGTGAACAACTGCTGTCATGGTTTTGGGTCCATCACTACTTGCGAGAAGACAACAATGGAAGACAGTTTTTGGCTTACTTGATAGTGCAGATCCGACGAAGGCGAGGACGTGGGCGACGAATCCGGCGGCAGCTTCGGCGGGGGACGGCAAGGTCGTGGGTTATTCCAGGGAGTTAAACGGCGCAGCTTCAAGGAGGACGAAGAAATCGCTACCAGAGGTGAGAGGAGGCAAATCTAACCTCATTTTGCCCTAGGCCCCAATTTACATAAGATGAGGGTAATTTGGTAAATGGCCGAGTTGCGTTTTTAGATCTTCCCAAATGGTGTAAACTACATTTTTTCACACTTCAGCGTTTTTTTCCTAGGCTGAAAATGCTTCTTTTTATCAGGGTTCCCAAAACGGCACTAAAATAGCCTAGGGCCTCGTTTGAAAACAGGCTAATTTAGTAACTTTTTGGCTATTTGGCTAAAATATGAGCTAAAAAAAATTAGTATGTTTGGGATGATTTTTTGACTTTTTACGAAAAGATGTGCAAAAAGTAGAGAAAAAAAGAAAATCTTTGACTTTTTGGTATGAGTTATTAGTTTTTTGATTTTTTTAGTGATTTTTTGACTTTTTAGCTAAAAAAATCACTTGCCAAACGAGACATAAAATAGCTAAAAAGTCAAAAAACCTTTAAAATAGCCACTTCCCAAACACCCACACTAATTTCCTGCTTAAATCTAGTATCTCATAGCTGCACTAAATATGTTACCAGTTTATATTCACAGCTGTAAGGTATAATATGTTAAGTTATAATGTATAATCATTTTCTCACAGCCCTATTAAACGGGGCTATAATTTTTTTAAATTTAATCTCGTGCATAGTATGAATGATATGCTAATTTTAAGAGAACAAAGTGAGTTAGCGAAAAACATAATAAAAAAAAATAGAAGGAAAACCCAGTCCTTTAGTCCTTTGGGCTTGGTGATGATGAAAGTCTTTGCGTGTAAATCCATCCAATGAAGACTGATTATTTGCAAGAAGTTTTGGTGCTGTATTATTATGACTGTAAATTAATCCCACTGAAATTGCTCTATTAGTAACTTTTGTTATTGATTTCGAGTCCATTTACTTGTTTTTATAATTAACGTTTTTGAGACTATAAAAATGTCACGTTTGATTGGAAGTCACTGTGTTTAGTTCCACTTTTTTGAGTTATTTTTCAAAATTTTGATTTAAAAATTGTTTTTTGAAAATGGACTACTGTTTAGTTTCCTTTTTTTTTTTTTTGAATCTTGTAAATGGAATTCAAAATTCTATCCAGTTAAGATTTTGAGCAACGTAACTATGAAGTTCAACAATTAAATTTTAAAAAAAAATTTGTTAGCACAAATCACATCAAAAGTAACACCATATTTATTTTGTATAAATCTACATATACATCTAATCACTTTATGTCGATTTAATCATTTCATGTCAAATTTCTCCATTTCTCAAGTCCATCTAAAAAATAAAATTCCAATTTTTTTATTTTTTTTTTATTTTTTGGATAACCAATTTATTTTTTTTTAATTTTCTAAAAATTATATCTAAAATTTAAGAACCAAGCACCATGAGAGTTCAAATTAGATTAGAAGACATGTGGGATCCCTAGTTGAGATTTTTTCCTCCAATATGGCATTTGTTTGGCAAGATTTGTAGTTTAGTCTAGAGTCGTAACTATTAATCCGTCACTTTTGGAGTGTGTGAACAATATATAATTTTTGATAATTTTGTTAAATAAAAATATACGACTTTTGATTTGGGCCATATATTCAAAAAATATGTGGGTGTTTGGGAAGTAGGTTTTTATGTAAGTTTTTTTAGTGGTAAGATATTATTAGAGAATTTTTTTTTTTTGTGTTTGGGAAGATAGTTAGGTTTTTTTATAGTTGTATGTGATGTTTGTGAGAGAGAAAGTGAAATATTATAGGGTTGGATGTGATATTTTTTTTGGATGTGTTTTTTTGGTTTTGCAAAAAAATTGTTTTTTAGTAGAAAAAATCAAAAAAAAAATCCCAAACCCAAGTTCCCAATATCTAAAAATATAAACTTCACTATTCTTCACCAATCAAAAAATGTGAGGACTCTTCATATGAAATGATAGACTTCCATCCAAATTATCTTCTCACCACCATCTAAATCATTTTAAAATGTTATTTGTAATCTCATCGAACAATTCTGTGATACTTTACAAAAAATATGCATCTCTTAATCCTTTTCCTCAAACAAGCATGGCCTAAATGGTACCCACTATTTACTCAAAGCAAAAGTTGAAATCACAATTTCGTTAATGTTGTATTTAAATTATAAGTTTGTGTAGGAACTTGAAAAAAGAAATGATAAAAGTGAAAGAAATATCACATATATTTTTAAATTTATATACAAATTTATTATCTAAACAGTGTAATGCAGAAAACAATTCAGCATATATGGATTTGAAGAAGGGAAAACCCAAGCCAGCTCAAGTATGTGGAGCTAATAACAAGGTTTGTGGTTATTATTAGTAGAGGGGTTTTGTTAATGTATCCCACATCATGTAAATAGGAAAGAGGGAGAGCATAGATGGGGTCTATAAAGGAAGAGTGAGAAGCAACTTAAAAAGTTACATACCTGGACGGGGTCAATGGGTGATCAAGAAGGCTCATGGCCTAGGTCGGTGGCTTTCATTGCACAATACTGAATGCGCACTCGGCTTAACATCTCCCCTTTGATGGGAGACTGTACGTCTTAATTTGTGGTAGCTGGGGCCTGCGCCTGCGCGGCCCCTCTCAATTCTCTCTCCCAACTTTTTTACTATATTTTTAATTTTAATGGAACTTCGAAAATTTATGATAAAAAGCATATGGTGAATCTTATAATAATATGCATCTTATTATAAAAATCTTATATCAATTGAAAAATGAAACAAATTAATATAACAAAATATGTTGTAATCAAGTTACAAGTTCTCGTTACATGAATCGACCTTTTGTTACACTATTTATGGTAGGGCGCATATGATATACACTATTTGAGAGATGTGTATCATAGAATTTCTTATAAATTATATACAATTCTTTTTTGAGATTTGAAGAAAATATATAATTAGTTTGACATTTTTAGCATGATTATACTGATCTCTCTCAAGATTTTAGCACGGTTTTAATTTACATAACACTTTAATCTTTTTTCATCACTAATTAGTCGTATGAATAGGAAAAATATATTACTATCATTTTATTATTAAAATGTATATTTATCTTTATTTATTTTAGTATTTGTCCACTAGTAGTATTAATTTTAGCCGTATTACAAGGGTGATTATTGTAATCATGTAAAAAATGTAGAGCTAACTATATTATTTTTTTCTAAATCTCAAAAGAAGTGAGTTTAATTTACCCAAAAACATGTAGTGGATCCTACTACTTATTCACTTGTCTTTAAGGTCGGTTTGAAACGTGGTTATTTTCAGTAATTATTTTTATTTTTTTTGGCTAAAATATAAATTGAAAGGAGCAAATATATTTCAGAAATTTATATTAATTTTTTTTTTAACAAAAAAAACGTGTAATACTGTGAATGAGAATGAATTTTTAACTCTATAGAGTAAATAAAAAATGATTCATTGACCTTTTTTTATGAACTACTTAAGAAAAATTATTTAGCAACTTTTAAACAAAAATAATCACCTGCCAAACGAGGCCTCATTGATCTGGTTTGGGAATAAGGATTAAGGTTAAAATAGTCAATAAAGACAAAAAAATATTAAAATAATCAATAAGACAAAATATCACATCGTACACATCAATCAACAACTTTTCTTTAACAACTATTTATTCAATTATAAAAAAATTCACAAATTATTCCAAATACAAATTTTTTTCATCTCATAAAATAACTAAAAATAAAAAAATTAACTAAAATAGTTAAATTCCCAAAGAACCAAATATTTATTACTAAAATATAACAATAACTAGTAAATTAACTATTGAACTACTTGAAAATGAACACTTGGTGTAGAAGAAACAAGAAAACAAAACCCACAGCAATCTAATCCATTTTCATTGGGTTAATTAAGCATATATTATAGGATATGGAAGCAATCTTGTGGTGTGGTGGGACCCATTTCATAAACAATCCAATAGATGAATACAAAATTTAAAAAATATCGAGATCAATATACTTGTAAAAAATTAAATTGATCAGATATTAATAACTTATTCATCAAATAACATTTGTATTTAGTTTGACACATATATTCATTTTTTTAAATAAATATATTATTTGATGAACAGGTTATTGATATCTGATTAACTTAATTTTTTACAAGTATATTGTTCTCAATATTTTCTAAATTGTCAACGATTCAGATCATCAAAATAAGAACCGAAATGAGTTCCACGGACCACACAACAACAATCATGGTTGTGCTTCACCCACAACAGTGACACCGGCTCGTTTACAGAGAGACTTGATTCTAAGTCCCACATCGAATGAGTTAGAAAGAGGAAATACAAGGGCTGGTATATTAAAGAAAAGGGAGAGCCATATAAAACTTTTCCTCAAAAGTCTTTTTAGTGAGGCTAAGATAACAATTCAATTTATCACTGAAATCTCTCACAAATTGTTACCGTATGTTCCCAATCTCTTTTGCAAACCATCACTATTCTGCCCATTTGCGCCTAACTAGGACACTCAGCCATCAAAACAATTCAGCCATCAATACCAACTACCATATTTGCCCACATCATTATTGTTTTCTATTATGTTCTGTTTAATTGGAAAGAAAATAAATAATAGAAAATAAATTAAAAAATGTATATTTTCTTGTATAAATTTGATAAGGATGAAAAAAATTCAATAAAATAAGATTTTAATTATAAGTAATACTTTTATAATAAAATTAAGGGCATTCGGTCTATAAATTCAATTTTAGATTTTTATTGCCCAAAAGTCCACACTCTAAAATGGGTGATTCTACTTACACCACTACTTTTATCTCTTTATACCGGGAAATTCTATTTCCACACGCCTAAATAACTCAAGGAACACACTTAATGAATTTTTAGTTTAATGACAATTATACCCTAAACCTTAATGACCATAACAGATATCTAGCAACACTTAAAATATTATATACAAAAATTCTCTGTACACATATTTTAAAAACAAAAAGATCTAAATGTACACTTTTTGAGTTAAAAAAATAAACCCTAGTTTTTTTTCCATTGTTGTCTGGGTGAGAGTAGTTTTCCTAGAGATGATTTGATTCTCTCTATCATTCAATGCAGCCCCTGCTCTTTTAGAATGCTGCTGATTTCATGCTACATCTATAACAAACCTGTCAAAGAGTGGATTTAGGGAGCATCGTGCACTGTTATGTTAGTAATAAAAATACAATTCAAACCATTATAAACTGCCGTATTAATTTGTGGTGACCACAATTTGAAAATCTGTTTACTGCAATCCCAAGTCATGTGGTTAATTGCGAAGTGGAGGTGATTTTGGTTTTAATTCGGAGAACTAGTGTTGAATTTATGTATTAAATTCGGATATCAACCGCCGAAATATATTTACATGCTTCATTCGGAATGTAACTGTCGAATATTATAACTATTTTTAGCTCTATTCAGTTGATCTATAATAGTTTATTTGGTTGTTGATTTCCGAATTCGGCAAACCAGTGCTGACATCCCCAACCCGTGAACAACATGGAAAAATCAAGGATTTTATGGCAATGAAGGGTACAAAGATTTGAAAATGATAAAATGTAATAACAAAATGATAAATATTAAAAACAAAATGGAAAGATTCTTTACCTTCAACATTGTTTTAGAGGTTTTCAATGGTGGTTTTCATGGAGGTTTTCCATAGATGGCTTCAGGGAATTCACTTCAGACATTGGAGGTTTTCACTTCAATGGAGGTCTTCAAGTCCACGGGTAGCTCAAGAATGTGGTCTTTAGATTGGTGTTCAAGCTTCACGTGGGTGGAAGTTTTTTGGTCTTCAAGTTTTCAAAAAGTGTGTGAAAATGAGGGTCAAGTGTGTGTACAATAATATTTGAGTGAAGGATAAAATTGTAATTTTTAGTGTGTGGATTGAGAAAAACAATCAATAAATAAACTAACAAGTGTGTTGAGAAAATATTTGCTTTGAGTTATTTAGGTGTGGAAATAGAATTTCCCCTTTACACCCTCCATATGAGTTTTTTTTTTCCCCCAATTTTATCCATGTGCGAAATTACCTTTAAGGACAAAATACTAAAATTAAATATATTTTGTTATCTCCTTACAACCCTTGGTTTTCATTCCCTACTTCTCTTTTTTCTTTCTTAATTTTTCTTTTCTCTTATACATCTCTTTTTAAAAAGTGAGAATCGTAGTATTTTGATCATTAAAAAAAACAATGGATGAAGAAACGATGGTGAATAACCATCAAAAAAGTGAAATGGTGAGTTTTTTTTATTTATTTGGTAGGTTTTTGTTTCTTTTTCCTGGACTGGTGTTTGACTTTCGTTCGGTGGTTCGAAATCGAACAAAATAAATTAGTCCGGCATCATATTGCCGAACAAAAAATATAAGTCTGGTAACCACCTACCAAATAAAAGATACATTTTCAGTAACCCCAAATCGAATTTTTTTAATTTATTCGGCATCTCATTACCATATATCTTCAGTTGCAATTTTTTTTATATTTTTTTGCTTGGAATGATAATACTTATACTCATGGCAAAAACGCAAATACTGTAATATTAGTGGACTCTAGTCATTAATTCATTACAGACGATTTTTTTATGAATACGATTTTTTATTACTTATACTCATTTTTTATTACTTATAGTCATTAATTCATTACTTGTACTTTGTTAAGTTTTTTTTTTATGAATACGATTTTTTCTTATTTTTAATTTGTATTAAGTTTTATGAATAATTTGACGTATAAATGTATTTATTATCTTTAGATTTTTCGTAGTTGTGAAGCATTAATTAAATGGGCTTCTGATGTTGGAAAGAAGACTGGATTTGTCATTGTTATAAAGACATCAAATGCGAGAGGCAATGGCAGAAAATCAAGACTTACACTTGCTTATAAAAGAAGTGGTTACTATAGAGACAACAGGATGATCAAAGAGGAACGATTGAGGTTGACAGGTTCTAAAAAGTGTGGATGTCTATTTCTATTAAGAGGGAAAAAATTACCTACAAATTACCAAGATGAATTGTGATAACATGTTTGATTGATGGATCCAAACAATGACAGATTTTATGAATACCTTATGGATATCGTATACTTCATGTTTTTATGAATAATTTTATGGATACTTTTTATGCATGATTTTATGGATGCGTGCTTGATTTATGAATTTTTTTATGGATGCTTCAAGGAAAAAGTAAATCTTTCAATGTATAGCGACGAGGGCTTAGACAACTCTATCGTAGTTTGGCAGCATGACACTAGAGTATTCCCATTCGTATAACAATGTATCACTAAACATGCACTTCGCAAGTGGCCCAAATTAATTTCTTGTTATCATCTAATTGAAGAGCAACATAATGCTGGAAAAAAAATATTATCCGATAACATGGCCCTGGAGTAATTCAAATTAATTAGCGTTGTATTACCAAACAGGCCCACCACAAATTGAAAAATCATTGTTTGGAAGAAGGTGTCTCTGTAAATGTATAGCAACAAAATGCTAGAGAGATCTATTTTTTTCGATAGCATAACACCGGAATAATGTAAATTGTTTAGCACCGTGTTACCAAAATTAGTGGTGTAAAGAGATGAAA